ACTACTACTACTACTACTACTACTACTACTACTACTACTACTACTACGACTACCACTACCACTACCACTACCACTACCACTACTACTACTACTTCTTCTACTTCTACTACTATTGTTACCACTACTACTTACTACTACTTACTACAACTTACTACAACTTACTACTACTTACTACTACTTACTACGACTTACTACTACTTACTACTACTTACTACTACTTACTACTACTTACTACTACGTACTACTACGTACTACTACCTACTACTACCTACTACTACCTGCTACTAGTACTACTAGTACTACTACTACTACTTCTACTACTACTACTACTACTACTACTACTACCTCCTTACTACTTACTACTTGCTACTTGCTACTTACTACTTACTACTTATGACTACTACTCACTACTACTCACTACTACTCACTACTACTACTACTACTACTACTACTACTACTACTACTACTACTGATGGAAGGAAGACATTGGCAACACCTGGAAACACGGTGAATTCTGTGTTTTTCCTTTTTTTTTCACTTGGATTTCTGAACTTTTTCCATCAACTCTATGATTCAGAGAACGGCCTCTCAATGATAGGTCCTGCTGCAGGGTTGCGATCTACAGGAAATTGACACAACATCTTGCAATGAAAGATCTGTGTGACAATTGCATGTACCAAGTTCTTCAAGCGGAGGGATCCTTGAAGATACTTGGCTTCATGTTGATACCCAGAGAACCGGTTTCACCTCAAACAAGGTCTCCAAGGTATGGACCCGGAGAGGTTGGAAATTATAGAAGGGCTTCAACCAGCGACATGTCAATGGTTGGATATTGGAGGATGGCTATGTTTTAGGGATTTGGTGTTTGTTTGGTGCTATGCTGCTTCTGTACAGTTTAGACAATTTGTTTGGATTTGGATATTAAAGCAAGCGGGACCTGTTTGACGTGTGGTGGAAATCGCCCCAACCCCTGGAGCTTGCGTGAGCACCGCAGGCGAGTGGTCGGAGCCAATCAAGTTCCAGAGCAAGGACAGGGCCAGATGATGCGCAGTTGGGTTTGGACGGCCAAAGTGGTTATTCCATGACTGAAAATCTACAGAACTGCTGATGCTGGGATTCGCACACTGCCAATGACCTGCTAGGAACCGTTGCATTTGGCAAGCCGGTCTTGTGAAACGCATTCTAATGGCTGCATGTCGTTGATCTAACCAAGGTTGCATGTCTCGAGGGCATTAGGACAGGAATGTTCATCGGCTGGTCATCGTACCTTCGAACACAGTGAGTTACGATGTAACGACGCGACGTATTCGACTGAGTGAAAGAATCAAAACGTTGTGCTTTCGTGAGTCGACGTATTCGGCCGAGTTGGCGCGCCGGATCTCTCCAGGTATCGGTGTGAAGTAATCCGTTTTTCGTTGAACAGCACATCCGTTGAACAGCATGCTTGAGAACAAGAAACGTCAGGATGCTGCAGGACAGTCAAACAGCTACGGCCTCCAAAGCAATTGTTGAAAGGTGCTTAAGCCAGCGTCTTGTTGAAAGAGAAGCAAGTCTGCGAAGAGCCAATGAAGTCATTAGCATATGCAAATTGCATGATGCGAAAGGACACCAGCCCATGTTAAGAGATCGCAAGGCTATATAGCCAATCTTCCAAGGTTTTGCTGTAGAATATATACGGGAATGCCCAGGATTCAGGG